AGTGGGTGAGAAAGCTGTTCGAAGGCCTACAAAGCCGGATGTGGCCCAGGCTGGACCCTTCCCATCCTTTTTTTGGTGGTTCGATTCCCTTTGCACACACCCCTGTACATAGAGGGCATCTAGTTGGGTCATCCGAAGCCTCCATCAAGCATGACAACATGTAGACGCTCTGGAGGCACAGACAGATGTGGAAGCATGTACACAGTGTGACCTGTGATAATACCATACAAAGAACATCTGAGACGGTCTTCTCAGAATCCGCTTGTGCCGGGAACAGTCATTAATGCCGGGACCTTTCCCTTCTTGTGGTGTCATGTCAGTTTATCGTCTTTTGTCATGCAGAAAAGCTTCGCCCCGCGATCCATGAAATCCCGGCAGGAACCCAGAGAAGTGCGGAGAGATACGGAGACGTCCGACACACTTGTGTCATTCATTAATGTGGAGGAGACCTGAGCCGAGGAGAACATGGAGCTTCATCTCCTATCATGAGGGCCACCAAGTCACCGTTGCAGGTCAGACTGAGGACATCCGCCTGGAGGAGACAGACGTTTCTCTTTGTGATTTGGTGCCACAAATATAAAGTACTTAATGCAGAACTAAACCCTCTCCATCTTCGTGAGCTCGGGGAAATCCTCGTACTCCTCGTACTCCTCGTACTCCTCGTACTCCTCGTACTCCTCGCACTCCTCGTACTCCTCGTACTCCTCGTACTCCTCGTACTCCTCATAATCCTCGTACTCCTCGTACTCCTCGTACTCCTCGTACTCCTCGTACTCCTCATAATCCTCGTACTCCTCGTACTCCTCGTACTCCTCGTACTCCTCATAATCATCGTACTCCTCGCAATCCTCGTACTCCTCATAATCATCGTACTCCTCATACTCCTCGTACTCCTCGTACTCCTCATAATCATCGTACTCCTCGCAATCCTCGTACTCCTCGCAATCCTCGTACTCCTCATAATCATCGTACTCCTCATACTCCTCGTACTCCTCATAAATCATCGTACTCCTCACATATCCTCGTACTCCTCGTACTCCTCGTAATCCTCGTACTCCTCATAATCATCGTACTCCTCATACTCCTCGTACTCCTCGCACTCCTCGTAATCCTCGTACTCCTCGCATCTCTCCTCGCACTCCTCATAATCCTCATACTCCTCGTACTCCTCGTACTCCTCATAATCCTCGTACTCCTCGTACTCCTCGTACTCCTCATAATCCTCGTACTCCTCGCACTCCTCATACTCCTCGTACTCCTCGTACTCCTCGTACTCCTCATAATCATCGTACTCCTCATAATCATCGTACTCCTCGTACTCCTCGTACTCCTCGTAATCCTCGTACTCCTCGTACTCCTCATAATCATCGTACTCCTCATACTCCTCGCACTCCTCGCACTCCTCATAATCACTGTACTCCTCGTACTCCTCGTACTCCTCGCACTCCTCGCACGTCCTCGTACTCCTCGTAATCCTCGTACTCCTCGCACTCCTCGCACTCCTCGTAATCACTGTACTCCTCGTATACTCCTCATAATCATCGTACTCCTCATAATCCTCGTACTCCTCGTACTCCTCGTACTCCTCGTACTCCTCATAATCATCGTACTCCTCGCAATCCTCGTACTCCTCATAATCATCGTACTCCTCGTACTCCTCGTACTCCTCGCACTCCTCGTAATCCTCGTACTCGATACTCCTCGCACTCCTCGCACTCCTCATAATCACTCGTACTCCTCATACTCCTCGCACTCCTCATAATCACTCGTACTCCTCATACTCCTCGTACTCCTCATAATCATCGTACTCCTCATATCCTCGTACTCCTCATAATCATCGTACTCCTCGTACTCGTACTCCTCATACGTACTCCTACTCCTCGTACTCCTCGTACTCTCCTCGCACTCCTCGCACTCCTCGTAATCCTCGTACTCCTCGCACTCCTCGCACTCCTCGTACTCCTCGTACTCCTCATAATCACTGTACTCCTCATACTCCTCGTACTCCTCGTACTCCTCATACTCCTCGTACTCCTCGTACTCCTCCTCGCAATCCTCATAATCATCGTACTCCTCATACTCCTCGTACTCCTCGTACTCCTCATAATCATCGTACTCCTCATACTCCTCGTACTCCTCATAATCATCGTACTCCTCATACTCCTCATACGTACTCCTCGTACTCCTCATAATCATCGTACTCCTCGCAATCCTCGTACTCCTCGTACTCCTCATAATCCTCGTACTCCTCGTACTCCTCACTCCTCCTCGTACTCCTCGTACTCCTCGTACTCCTCGTACTCCTCATAATCCTCGTACTCCTCGTACTCCTCGTACTCCTCGTAATCCTCGTACTCCTCGTACTCCTCATACTCCTCGTACTCCTCATAATCATCGTACTCCTCATAATCATCGTACTCCTCATAATCATCGTACTCCTCGCAATCCTCGTACTCCTCGTACTCCTCGTACTCCTCGTACTCCTCCTAATCATCGTACTCCTCATACTCCTCGTACTCCTCGTACTCCTCATAATCATCGTACTCCTCCTCGCAATCCTCGTACTCCTCATAATCATCGTACTCCTCATACTCCTCGTACTCCTCATAATCATCGTACTCCTCGCAATCCTCGTACTCCTCATACTCCTCGTACTCCTCATACTCCTCATACTCCTCGTACTCCTCATAATCCTCGTACTCCTCGCACCTCGTACTCCTCGTACTCCTCACTCCTCGTACTCCTCGTACTCCTCATACTCCTCGTACTCCTCGTACTCCTCGTACTCCTCGTACTCCTCGTACTCCTCGTACTCCTCATACTCCTCGTACTCCTCGTACTCCTCGTACTCCTCATAATCCTCATAATCCTCATACTCCTCGTACTCCTCGTACTCCTCATAATCCTCGTACTCTTCATACTCCTCGTACTCCTCATCAATCCTCATACTCCTCGTACTCCTCGTACTCCTCATATCCTCGTACTCTTCATACTCCTCGTACTCCTCATACTCCTCATAATCACTGTACTCCTCATCGTACTCCTCTCATACTCCTCGTACTCCTCGTACTCCTCGTACTCCTCATACTCCTCGTACTCCTCATAATCTCGTACTCCCTCGTACTCCTCATACTCCTCATAATCCTGTACTCCTCATACTCCTCTCCTCGTACTCCTCGCACTCCTCGTACTCCTCGTACTCCTCATAATCCTCGCACTCCTCATACTCCTCGTACTCCTCGTACTCCTAATCATCGTACTCCTCATACTCCTCGTACTCCTCATAATCACTGTACTCCTCATACTCCTCGTACTCCTCATACTCCTCGTACTCCTCATAATCATCGTACTCCTCATAATCCTCGTACTCCTCGTACTCCTCATACTCCTCGTACTCCTCATAATCTGTACTCCTCATACTCCTCGTACTCCTCATAATCATCGTACTCCTCATAATCATCGTACTCCTCTCCTCATAATCATCGTACTCCTCATAATCATCGTACTCCTCGTACTCCTCGTACTCCTCATAATCATCGTACTCCTCATACTCCTCGCACTCCTCATAATCATCGTACTCCCTCATACTCCTCGTACTCCTCGTACTCCTCGTACTCCTCGTACTCCTCGTACTCCTCGCACTCCTCATACTCCTCGTACTCCTCGTACTCCTCGTACTCCTCATAATCCTTGTACTCCTCGTACTCCTCGTACTCCTCATACTCCTCGTAATCCTCGTACTCCTCGTACTCCTTGTACTCCTCATAATCATTGTACTCCTCGCACTCTTCGTACTCCTCGCACTCCTCATACTCCTCGTACTCCTCGTACTCCTCATAATCACTGTACTCCTCGTACTCCTCATATCCTCGTACTCCTCATAATCCTCGTACTCCTCATACTCCTCGTACTCCTCGTAATCATCGTACTCCTCGTACTCCTCATAATCACTGTACTCCTCGTACTCCTCATAATCCTCGTACTCCTCATAATCCTCGTACTCCTCATACTCCTCGTACTCCTCATAATCCTCGTACTCCTCGTACTCCTCGTACCCTCATAATCCTCGCACTCCTCGTACTCCTCGTACTCCTCATAATCCTCGTACTCCTCGTACTCCTCATAATCCTCGTACTCCTCGTACTGCCAGCATCGCTACACAGACAGGAAGGTGGAGAATATCTGACTGACTTGTTTTATACATTTCAGTATATTTCTTTAGTGTCTTCCTGGCTTCTGGCCTAGGCCAAAATGATGTCATACATCCCAAGAGTCTCATTGGGAGGGAAGCTCTCAGCTAAGCACATCCTTCTGCCTGCATGCCTGAGGTAAGGGCAGATGAACTCAAAGAAGTAAATGCTACATGAATCATCTGCCCTTCCTCAAGATGGCCACAGCTAGAAATGCTAGGGGGGGAGGGGGGTCATAGTGATTTAATCAGCAAAATAAAGCATGGAGACATATAGGGATGTAGATATCAATGGATGGATGGATAGAGAAATGGATGGAGGAATGGAGAGATGGATGGACCCCCAATGTAAGGGACATTCTTCCCACTGACCCCCATGTAAGGGACATTCTTCCCACTGACCTCCAATGTGAGGGACATTCTTCCCACTGACCCCCAATGTAAGGGACATTCTTCCCACTGACCCCCAATGTAAGGGACATTCTTCCCACTGACCCCTAATGTAAGGGAAATTCTTCCCACTGACCCCCAATGTAAGGGGCATTCTTCCCACTGACCCCCAATGTAAGGGAAATTCTTCCCACTGACCCCCAATGTAAGGGACATTCTTCCCACTGATCACCAATGTAAGGGACATTCTTCCCACTGACCCCCAATGTAAGGGACATTCTTCCCACTGACCCCCAATGTAAGGGACGTTCTTCCCACTGACCCCCCAATGTAAGGGACGTTCTTCCCACTGACCCCCAATGTAAGGGACATTCTTCCCTCTGACCCCAATGTAAGGGACATTCTTCCCACTGATCACCAATGTAAGGGACATTCTTCCCACTGATCACCAATGTAAGGGACATTCTTCCCACTGACCCCCAATGTAAGGGACATTCTTCCCACTGACCCACCAATGTAAGGGACATTCTTCCCACTGACCACCAATGTAAGGGACATTCATCCCACTGACCCCCAATGTAAGGGACATTCTTCCCACTGACCCCCAATGTAAGGGACATTCTTCCCACTGACCCCCCAATGTAAGGGACATTCTTCCCACTGATCACCAATGTAAGGGACATTCTTCCCACTGACCACCAATGTAAGGGACATTCTTCCCACTGATCACCAATGTAAGGGACATTCTTCCCACTGACCCCAAATGTCAGGGACATTCTTCTCACTGACCCCAATGTAAGGGACATTCTTCCCACTGACCCCCAATGTAAGGGACATTCTTCCCACTGACCGCCAATGTAAGGGACATTCTTCCCACTGATCACCAATGTAAGGGACATTCTTCCCACTGATCACCAATGTAAGGGACATTCTTCCACTGACCCCCAATGTAAGGGACATTCTTCCCACTGACCCCCAATGTAAGGGACATTCTTCCCACTGACCCCCAATGTAAGGGACATTCTTCCCACTGACCCCCAATGTAAGGGACATTCTTCCCACCGACCCCCAATGTAAGGGACATTCTTCCCATGACCCCCAATGTAAGGGACATTCTTCCCACTGACCCCCAATGTAAGGGACATTCTTCCCACTGACCCCCAATGTAAGGGACATTCTTCCCACCGACCCCCAATGTAAGGGACATTCTTCCCACTGACCCCCAATGTAAGGGGTATTCTTCCCACTGACCCCCAATGTAAGGGACATTCTTCCCTCTGACCCCCAATGTAAGGGGCATTCTTCCCACTGACCCCCAATGTAAGGGACATTCTTCCCACCGACCCCCAATGTAAGGGACATTCCTCCCACTGACCACCAATGTAAGGGACATTCTTCCACCGACCCCCAATGTAAGGGACATTCTTCCCACTGACCCCCAATGTAAGGGACATTCCTCCCACTGACCCCCAATGTAAGGGACATTCTTCCCACCGACCCCCAATGTAAGGGACATTCTTCCCACTGACCCCCAATGTAAGGGACATTCTTCCCACTGACCCCCAATGTAAGGGGCATTCTTCCCACTGACCCCCAATGTAAGGGACATTCTTCCCTCTGACCCCCAATGTAAGGGACATTCTTCCCACTGACCCCCAATGTAAGGGACATTCTTCCCACTGACCCCCAATGTAAGGGACATTCTTCCCTCTGACCCCCAATGTAAGGGACATTCTTCCCACTGATCACCAATGTAAGGGACATTCTTCCCACCGACCCCCAATGTAAGGGACATTCCTCCCACTGACCACCAATGTAGGGGACATTCTTCCCACCGACCCCCAATGTAAGGGTCATTCTTCCCACTGACCACCAATGTAGGGGACATTCTTCCCACCGACCCCCAATGTAAGGGTCATTCTTCCCACTGACCCCCAATGTAAGGGACATTCTTCCCACCGACCCCCAATGTAAGGGACATTCTTCCCTCTGACCCCCAATGTAAGGGACATTCTTCCCACTGATCCCCAATGTAAGGGACATTCTTCCCACTGACCCCCAATGTAAGGGACATTCTTTCCACTGACCACCAATGTAAGGGACATTCTTCCCACTGACCACCAATGTAAGGGACATTCTTCCCACTGATCACCAATGTAAGGGACATTCTTCCCACTGACCCCCATGTAAGGGACATTCTTCCCACTGACCCCCAATGTAAGGGACATTCTTCCCACTGATCCCCAATGTAAGGGACATTCTTCCCACTGACCCCCAATGTAAGGGACATTCTTCCCACTGACCACCAATGTAAGGGACATTCTTCCCACCGACCCCCAATGTAAGGGACATTCTTCCCACTGACCCCCCCAATGTAAGGGACATTCTTCCCACTGACCCCCAATGTAAGGGACATTCTTCCCACTGACCACCAATGTAAGGGACATTCTTCCCACTGATCACCAATGTAAGGGACATTCTTCCCACTGACCCCCAATGTAAGGGACATTCTTCCCACTGACCCCCAATGTAAGGGACATTCTTCCCACTGATCCCCAATGTAAGGGACATTCTTCCCACTGACCCCCAATGTAAGGGACATTCTTCCCACTGACCCCCAATGTAAGGGACATTCTTCCCACTCACCATCACACTAATGTATCATGAGTTGCAGATTTAGTCATGTTTATCAGGGGGTCCCTGAGACCGGACAGTTATTTCAGGGGTTCTTCTGGTTGAGAAAGGCTACATTAGGGTTAGTTACTAAAGGCAAATAGGTGAATTTTCTCTTCATTTAGTAAATGAATTAACAATTCACTTGGCAAAAAATACAGAATCATGTGGAAGAAAAACAAAATATAAAATTTCAATGTATTGTTGCCCACAGATGATTGGCTGATGGTGGGAACAGAGCTTCACCTTCTCTTGTGAACAGCCTACTGTAGATACTTTTATTAAATCACCCCATTATCTCTGCCTGCATGTTACCAATGATTGCCCATCCCCCGCCCCCATCCCCCACCCCTTGTGCACTCAGTATTCTGTAGAAATATCCTTAGTGTGGACCAATAAAACTGCTCATTAAATTCCATTGGAAGCTTCCATCGGCATCCAACTTCCTTGCCAGACAGGTGTGAATGGCGTGTGACCTGGTCCTGACTCATCACATGTTTTCTGCGCATTAAAGGTTCATTTACAGATTTATTGCTTTGTGTGATGTTATTTATTGGAGCCTGAAGGCGTGCGCTAATATGATGGATGAAATGTAGATGATCAGCACGACCAATTATCATCTTCCCCAATCGCTCCATAAAGTCCGCCAGTCCTAGACAGTGTTGTATGTTGTGCCGCCGCTCTCCGCAATCCCGGGTACCCGATCCTTTCTGCTCTTTGCTTCCTATCGGAGGATTTTTATTTTTGAATTCTGGATCTTTTTATGCTCCTTGTTTCCTATCTGATTTCTATTTTTGAATCCTGGGTATCGGCATTTTTTCTGCTTTTTGTATCTTATCAGAAAATTTTCATTTTTGAATTCTGGATCTTTTTCTGCTCTTTGTATCCTATCGGAAGATTTGTATTTTTGAATTCTGGATGGTTTTTTTTTGTTCTTTTTATCCTATCGGTGAATTTCTATTTTGAATTCAGTTTTTTTTTCTGCTCTTTGCATCTTATTTGATTTCTATTTTTGATTCCTGGGCAGCGCCTCTCTTTTTGCTCTTTGTATCCTATCTGAGAATTTCTATTTTGAATTCTAGTTCTTTCTGCTCTTTGCATCCTATTGGAGAATTTTTATTTTTGAATTTCAGGAATCGGCTCTTTTTCTGCTCTTTGAGTTCAAAAATAGAAATCCTCTGATAAGAAACAAAGAGCAGAAAAAAAGCCGATTCCTGAAATTCAAAAATAAAAATTCTCCAATAGGATGCAAAGAGCAGAAAGAGCTAGAATTCAAAATAGAGATTCTCAGATAGGATGCAAAGAGCAAAAAGAGAGGCGCTGCCCAGGAATCAAAAATAGAAATCAAATAAGATGCAAAGAGCAGAAAAAGAACCAGAATTCAAAAATAGAAATTTGATAAGAAACAGGTTTTTTTTTTGCTCTTTGCATCTTATTTGATTTCTATTTTTGATTCCTGGGCAGCGCCTCTCTTTTTGCTCTATTTCTATTTTGAATTCTAGCTCTTTCTGCTCTTTGCATCCTATTGGAGAATTTTTATTTTTGAATTTCAGGAATCGGCCCTTTTTCTGCTCTTTGTATTTTATCGGAGGATTTCTACTTTTTGAATTCAGTTTTTTTTTCTGCTCTTTGCATCCTATCTGAGAATTTCTGTTTTTGAATTCTGGCTCTTTTTCTGCTCTTTGTATCCTATCGGAGGATTCGTATTTAAGAATTCTGGATTTTTTTTGGTCTTTTTATCCAATCGGTGAATTTCTATTTCTGAATTCTGGCTCTTTTTCTGTTCTTTGCAGCCTATTGGAGGATTTCTACTTTTCTCATTCTGGTTATTTTTCTGCTCTTTGCATCTTTTCTAATTTCTATTTTTGATTCCTGGGCAACACCTTTCTTTATGCTCTTTGTATCCTATCTGAGAATTTCTATTTTGAATTCTAGCTCTTTTTCTGTTCTTTGAATCCTATTGGAGAATTTTTATTTTTGAATTTCAGGAATCTGCTCTTTTTCTGCTCTTTGTATCCTATCTGATAATTTCTATTTTCGAATTCTGGATCTTTTTCTGCTCTTTGCATCCTATCTGAGATATTCTATTTTTGAATCCCGGGTATCCGCTCTTTTTCTGCTTTTTGTTTCCTATCTGATTTCTATTTTGAATCCTGGGTATCACCTCTTTTTCATCTGTTTCCTATTGGAGAATTTCTATTTTTGAATCCCGGGCATTGGCTCCTTTTCTGCTCTTTGTATCCTATCTGACTTCTATTTTTGAATCCCGGGTATCGGCTCTTTTTTTTGCTCTTTGTATCCTATTTTAGAATTTCTACTTTTGAATTCTGGCTCATTTTCTGCTCTTTGCATCCTATCAGAGAATTTTTATTTTTGAATCCCAGATATCGGCTCTTTTTCTTTTCTTTCTGTCCTATTGTAGAATTTCTATTTTTGAATCCCAGATATCGGCTCTTTTTCTTTTCTTTCTGTCCTATTGTAGAATTTCTATTTTTGAATTCTGGTTCATTTTCTTCTCTTTGCATCTTATCGTGAATTTTTATTTTTGCATCCCGGTTATCGGCTCTTTTACTGCTCTTTGTAACCTATCTGAGAAATTCTCATTTTGATTCCCGGGTATCGGCTCTTTTTCTGCTCTTGGTATCCTACAGGAAGATTTCTATTTTTGAATTCTGGCTCTTTTTCCACTCTTTGTATCTTATCTGATTTCTATTTTTGAATCCTTGAGTATCGGCTCTTTTTCTGATCTTTGTATCCTATAGGAGAGTTTTTCTACTTTTCTTGTTTGATCATTTTCATTGACCATTTCAGATAATATCAGGGATAAACCCAATGACAAGGTGTTACAGATCAAAATACAAAAAATAGGGCTTGAGAAGAGGTAGCCCTCCCCCCATGGTCTTCAAGGGAGTGACCAGTGATCAAGAGTTTAGGGCATCTGGGTTCGGTTGGGTATACAGAATCCAGGCCAGACCATATTTTCCAGAACCTTTCATAGGTGTCCAAAGAAATGGCTGATAGCTGTTCAATAATCATGCTATCATCTGCTTTGTGGCAGCAAAAATGACAAATGCAAATTGGTGGCTGGGCCTGAAACTCCCTCAAGGTGTGTGTTCAGTAGCACTCCAACTGGGTCTTTACGTAGGTTACAGCCCAAAACTATATAGGTTCAGGTATTAGTATAGATCCATATCCTACGTACCTTCAGGCAAGCCCATAATATATGTACCATAGTACCTTCCCGACCACAGGCCTGGAGAATTTTATTTTTTGAATCCCGGGTATCGGCTCTTTTTCTGATCTTTGTATCCTATAGGAGAGTTTATACTTTTGTTGTTCGATCATTTTCATTGACCATTTCAGATAATATGGGGGATAAACCCCATGACAAAGTGTTACAGATCAGAATACAAAACATAGGGCTTGAGAGGGGGTAGCCCTCCCCCCATGGACTTCAAGGGAGTGACCAGTGAAGAATTCAGGGCATCTGGGTTCAGTTGGGTATGCAGAATCCAGGCCACACCATATTTTCCAGAACCTTTCATAGGTGTCCAAAGAAATGGCTGATAGCTGCTCAATAATCATGCTATCATCTGCTTTGTGGCAACAAACATGACAAATGCAAATTGGTGGCTGGGCCTGAAACTCCCTCCAGATGTGTGTTCAGTAGCACTCCAACTGGGTCTTTCCATAGGTTACAGCCCAAAACTATATAGGTTCAGGTATCAGTATAGATCCATATCCTACGTACCTTCAGGCAAGCCCACCAAATATGTACCATAGTACCTTCCCGACCACAGGCCCGGAGACTTTCCACTTTTTAAATCACGGACATCGGCTCTTTTTCTGCTCTTTGTTTCCTATCAGAGAATTTTCTATTTTTCGTGATATACTATTTAGGTCATTGTTGAGCATAAACTATATAAAAAGAAATCACTTCTAGTCTATCTAAAGGGCTTGTCTTAAGATCCAACCAAAGCCGTTTGAGGCTCCCATTCCAATCACCGCGTATCACTGACCTGAAACAAAGAACACTTTTCTCATTTCAGACGTTTCTGTTTGTTTCCATTACCATGTGGCCATCACTCTCCTTACCTTGGTTCCCCTTGATTGACTGACAGATAGATTTCCCAGGAGTTGTCTTCTGCAATCGCCTCATGCGGGATCAACAGGCTCACCCCTGGAAAATAACGAGATAGAGCTTACAGATCAGAATCAGACGGAGAGAAGACCTGACAAGTGCAGACATCAGTAAAGCACATCTCCCTACACGGCACATGGCGGGAATCAGCTCGGAGAACGGCCCTCCCTCTGCTGGGGAACTAATGACTTCAGAATGTTCCACCAGCGAGACCATGGAACTTGTAGTTCTCCGAGCTGTAGGCCAATCTGTCTCTCTGTGCTCTAAAGACAACCTTTATCATTGAAAGCTATATACCAATCAGATCATTAGATGGCCATTTATAAGTACCGGGTTATAGAATGCAAAAAACACACAAATAGCAAATGGGATTTTTTTAAGACACTATCCTCAAAGGAGACGACAACAAAATGATGTACTAGATAAAACAAACACCGATCAGTCATACCACTGTGACCACTGACTATGACATTATGACCACCCACCTAATATTGAGTAGGTCCCCTTTTGCCCCAAAGCATCCCTGACCCGTCAAGGCATGGCCTCCACTAGATCTCTGAAGGTATGCTGTGGTATCTGGCACCAAGCCATCAATAGTAGATCCTTTAAGTTCTGGAAATTGCGAGGTGATGCCTCCATGGATCTGACTTGTTTTTCCAGCACATCCCACAGATGCTCGATTGGATTAAGATCTGGAGAATTTGGAGGCGAAATCAACACATCAAACTTGTTGTGTTCCTCAAGCTTTTCTTGAATTCCTCAGACCAAACCACCTCCTTCCATTGCTTTGTGGTCCAGTTCTGATGCTCACGTGCCCATTGCAGGTG